AAGGAGTTGGAGTTATAAAAACTTCCGTAAATATTAGGAATTTGGTTGGGCTCATCCATATCCTTTTATTCGACTTATAAAGACTTTAAGACCTTTTTTTTTTCCTTTTTTTTTTTTTTTTTTTTTTTTTAAAAAAAAAAATTGAATTATTTACGTTTCGTTTATCCATTTTATTTTACAACAGAAAAAGGGGGGAAAATGTATTTTCAAGGGTATGAATTACAAGTCCTAATCAGTGATATCATGTTAAAGGAATACCTTGGTCCAAGAAAAAATGTACCGGTAATTTGAAAAATTATCGAAATTTCATTATTATATTTATTGTAAGAACAAGAATTATAAATATTGAACGAATTCGCTAATCGTAATTCATTCGGGGGGAACGCGCTATTTCAGTATCGATATACAAGCCCTAATTGGGTCGATAATTGTCAAACTGGAATAAGAATGGAAAGGTAGGTTTAAAACGACTACTTTTATGATTTTTTTGGGATGTTTCTTTAATCTTATCATAACCCGTTCCTATTTAGCGAATTTCTACATTATATCTTAATTCCTTCCTCATCAACTCCGTTCGCAATACAAGTTTCATCATCAAAAGCAACATTTTTGAAACCCATAGTTGCAGAAATTCGAATTGATGGAATTCCTATACAGGAAACCGCATCCACCACTTCTGCCGGTTCTTCTTTAAATCCGAAAGGATTAAATTTAGTTGGATCAGGAAAAAAGCAACAAATATGTGTATTAGATAAAAATGAAGATAAAGAACAACAATTAATTGGTGCCATTTCAGTATTTTTTTATAAAGCTGAATCGCTTTTACAAAGGAAATCTGAAATACCACTTGCAATTTTACATTTACATTATCGATCTAAAGATATCATATCTGATTTAATTCAAAATAGATTTTTGAAAGAAGATATTGAAGGTTTTAATGACGAGGAGAAAGAAAAAAAGGATTTACCAATTGAACAAGAACAAGTAAAAAAGATTTATAATAGCGCTTATGGAGAGGAACCTTTAAGACAATTTCAAAATGAAATGACCGAACAAGTAAGTTATGATTATGATGTAGGGCTTGAAAAAGAATATCAAAGAGATGTTTGGGATCAGCCAAGAAACATGGAGATTATAGAGATCCTTGACGATTAACTTAATATGAGTTGGACTTTTAGAATTTTCGAGTAAATACATTAATATTTTTTTTTTTTTTTTTAAAAAAAAAAAAAAAAAAAAAGATTTCACAAGTAAAATATTATTATATCTTATTTATATTTTTCATTTTTTTTTTTTTTTTTTTTTTTTCTGGATTGAAAATTTGTAACCTTTGACCAATTATAACCAAATAAAAATTTATCAGTATTTATCATTGCAAATTAATTTTCCATCTATTCCCCCATCAAAAAATTTCGTGTAAACTAGAGCGAAACCTTTTTGAGATAAAATAAATTCGTTTTATTTAATAAAAACAATCACGACAAAAGATAAGGGGACTCTTATCATGTTGAATCTAACTATATTTGGAAATCGGTCAAAAATTTTACTTTTTTTTTCGCGTAAAAATGATTTGAGACCATAGCAAAAGCTAACTAAAACAAAAACTTTGCTTATTGTATGATCGCTTGTAAAACAAACAAAGAAACGATTTCTATTAGATTACATAATCAGCAATTCTTTAATTTTTCCGGATTAGGTTAAATCAGCCAATCAGGTTTTTTTTTGTTTAATCCATCTTTTACAATATGAAAAAGTATGTTTCTTTCGCTCGCCTCTTAATTTATTTTATCATTTCAAGTGTAACTCTATAATTACATGTAGTGATCCCGCCTTGATGCAGTTTTGCATCATCTGGCTAATCAAAGGGAATTACCTATTAGATGGTAAGTTGTGTACACATCTTTTCATGCATTGGGATGCAGAATTTGGTTATCCGACAGAAAAGATACAAGGAACAAAAAGATGACTATATAGAAAATTCCTTTCCAGATAATCTGGCACGTGAGCTATATTTACTGTACGTACAAATCACCTATAAAATTATAAATTAATTTTCATATGATTTAATGCATTGAAAAATTTATCATTTGTATCTATACAAAAAGAGAATTCTCAAGTTAAGATTATGTATGATATCATTATTACTTTTTATTATTCCGAAAAAAGCCTTTTCAAAGCTGATTATAACAAAGAATACTGATTAGCAAATACTAATATAAATCATTATCGCGAAAAAAAAAAATAAAGTAAATGAACATACCAATTTGTTATAAAATATTCATATTACTAATTAATCGCGTTTTTTTTTATTTTGAAGCTCGCGAAAGAATTGTTTTTTATTATTGCTTCACATAAAATACATAACCTATTAAACAATTATTAATATATTTTATGCAGTTGATTCAAAGAAGTTCGCAAAACAAAATAATTACTTTTTGTAATTCAGGTTTAACTACGGCAAAAGTTGAAGCGGCTCCTTGGTCTCCTTCGCTATCGGATTCTGTATCACTCCAATGATCCTTTGCGTGAAATCGTGCTCGTCGGCATACAATATGAGCGTAATATACAGGAGGAACCTATTCATCGATTAGAAAGAATTCTATGCAAGAAAAATAAATTGTAAAACATACCAAAGAAACAGCGCGTGTGCAGCGAGCAAATAAATAGCATAAATTATATGAAAGTACTTGAAGTCTAAAACGTTCGCATTGATTAATTTACATTGAATATATTATATATAAAGCAAATGTTTCTTTTTATAAACTTACGCGTCAGATGTGAAAGCATTTTCGTCAAATAGGACATGATAATGAGTTGGCCTAGATGTACCTTGCAATCCGGCATGACTTTGAAGATCTAAAAAAAAAAAAAGATTAATGTCAAAATGAGTTAATTGTATATGCCGTGAAATCATTTAAATTTAAACTATAAATACAAAAATCGAATTCATAGGGATGAGTGATTCCGGATTCGATTACAGTCCCAGGAAGGCAATTTCCAGTTCTATCAGAGTCGCGTTTATCTAGAGGAAAGAAACGAGTGTGATGTCGCTTTTGAACGACCACAAAAGTGATAGTCGGTTTATATGTCTGCTCAAGAGACATGCATGCAGCTATCTCGAGAAAAAAAAATTAATTCACGAGGAAAAAATTTTCAAATTAATCATATTCAATATAAAAAAGAAAATTATTAGAATACCCCGAACCGCACTAATTTCTCCATCAAGAACTTGAGCAAATTGACCTTCAGAAACACCATCGCGATAAAAGAGAATTCTATCTGGTTTTCTTCCGCAAGTCTGATAAAAGGTTTTTAAAAGTTCTTTAACCATATTAGCCAAATCTGCAATAATTTCAGTACGACTAGTTTGAACTCTAATTGCTGCCGAATATCTTGATGCCCTAGCATCCATAGATGCACAAAGAGCTGCAATTGAAGGTCGAGAAGGATCACCTTTTTTATCGTTAAGGAAAGCGCGTTAAAAATTTGCTAAATGGAATAATTTTTATATTACGGCAATTTTTTTTTTCTTTGCTTACCGGGAGATGGATGTGAAATGTCGGCCCCCATAAGAATAGTAGGTCTATCGGTAATGAAAGGAATTTGACTAGGGTTTATAAATGAGTTCATTCCACCGAGTTTTACATTGATTTTAAGACATAAATTTGCACAATACTGTTTCTTTGCTTGCATCATATGTCGACTTTGGACACATTGACTCGCAACACCTATGACAGTATCGGTAACACGTTTAATTTCAGCATAAAGAGGAACTCCGGTGTTGGGAAGAATACAAATTATCAACTGCGGCTGAGCTTTGGCGGCATTTCCTGCATATAGCCATGATGTCTTTAGCGTACCCTCAATATCGCCTTGAGGATTCGTATGCATTATAGGTGGTGTTCTATTTGGAACACTCTAAATGATACAAAAATTAGGATGAATTATCAGCCTTAGTCATATGATAAATAAAAATATTTCCTACCATTCCGTTTTCTTGACAAGTAATTACTAGCTCTCGAATAAATGCTTGAATAGATTGTGTTGGAAGATCGCGTTCTGATCCAAATGCAAGAATTGACCACGAACCAAGAACTGCGCCTTGTGCTACTTTCTTATCTTTTAAGTTCCAAGATCCATCGCGTGGTTGGAAAGTATGTTCACGCGAAGAAGGATGATACTGTAAAGTTGGTACAGGAAGAACGCGTGCCTGAATCTGTTGTAAATATAATAATAAATAATAATAATAATAATGTTTATTGGTTCGATTCTGAAAGTGTAAAATTTATTAATAAAATCTACTCACCACTATCATATCGTTTGTGACTTCCAAACCAAATTGTTTGAGATAATCATTCTTACGGTAGCTAAGGATGTCAACACCTTGTTTAATTTTATTTGCACGCATATGTGGTGACTGGCACGTAAATTTAATCATATCGGCCGTTTGTTTTTCATTCAGCTTGCGTATATGACGTTGACCCTATGATATACTATCATTAAAACTAACAAAAAATTATATCATATAATTCACAAATTATAAAAAGAAATTGTTATATTCACTTCGATAACTTCGCAAACCTCGAGTGGAAGGTAAACGTTCTTTTGAACTATTGCGCAAGGAAGGAATGGATAGGATAAACGTCTACCGTATGTTTTGGCAAAGTAACTCGCAACATCTATAGTAGTGCCATCGCCTGCATCAAATCTTGTTTGAGAAGCAGGTGTAGGTGTGAGTTTAACGATTTTGAAATTTCGTTTGGAAGTTGCTTCGCCACGGTGAATAACGCGAATTTTAAGGTTTTTTAACGTTTTTTCAGCTCTAATTAGTTCTTTATCAGTAATGCCTCGACGAAGGTCATCAGGAGTTCTACGGCCTAAAATTTTGGTAACAATTTGTACAAGAGGTCCTGACTCATAAAACGCGGTTGCACTCAAGTCAACGTTGATTAACATTTTTTCTAAAATTATTATATTAAATAACGAGAAAATAATATAAAATTAAGAAAATTAGAAGCACATTAAAAACATTACAAACCTTGAGCAGGACGCGCCGATTGATAATATCCTTGCCAAACTTCAGCACCACCAAAGAGGGGTTGTGCTCCAGCTTTCGTGAAAAAGGAACGTCCGACCGTAACGTGTTGCATTGAGGGAAGATGGCGAATTAGAACATCAAGTGCCATAATCACTAATTTTTAAAATTTCAAAAATAAAATAAATAAATTGCTCTAAAAAAAGAAAATCCGGAACGAATAATTTTAATTTACCAGTTAAGCAGTTAGGTGTCATAGAATTTCTTCCTTGAAGAAATCGATGAAGTTCATCCATATAAATTTCTCCAGTTTTCTTAATTTTGAACTTGAAAATTTTTGGAGTACGCTTGATAAAAACTATTTCATTTTCGGGAAGAGTAACCTACATTTATAAACTTTATTAAAGAAACTAAAGATAATCAACTAAATAAATAGTTTTTAACTCACTTCAAAAGTGGCCGCATCCCCAAATGGGAAGTTTTGAGGAGCGAAAATATTCTTTCGTCCTAAAAAAACGATAAGAAAATGATTGATATGCCGCAATAATAATTAAATTTCGTTATATTAAAGACGAACCATCAAAGACGGATCTAATTCCATTCAATTTTTCCTCACGATGAATCGTTTCAAACTCTTCAAATAACTTTCTGTTGAGTGCAGGTGGCACATCTGGGGTAATGGTGACGTCGTAGTGGATAATATTTTGAGTTGGTAAAGCAAGAACTTCAAAGAAATTAGAACGCACTCGAATTTGTCTTCCCAAAGTCCCTACAGACGGTCTTCTACAGAAAGTACTAATAATATTTTGACGAACTTCAGACATTTTTATATAATTGATATTTTTAATGTGTTATGAAAGAAAATTTTCTTATAAAGAAATCGGTGTGCGAAATGAAGGATGTTCATTTATACACATTTCAAAATGTAAATTCACGCGAAAGCAACAAAAGCAAATATTGTATAACCAATTCCGTTAGATTTGTATTATTTCGTAGTTAATTGCTTGATAAAACGAGAGCATAAATGGTTTTAGAATTTAAAATGGCAATCTTTGTGCAGGATTTTATCTTTTAATACCGATGAGACGTTTCGTTGGAATTCATTTATATATAACAAAAGAGTTACATGTTAGTTATTCGATTGTTGAGTGAAACTAGATCTCAATAAATTCCTTTCTGCATTCTAAAAATATATTTCATTAGAACTCCGACTGAGCATAATATATTCAACACAATCTAATGGTCATAGAAAATATATATAATTTAATATATGTACTGTAAATTTATTCAGGAAAAGTTTAAATTATTAAACTGATCCAAATTTGGTAGCGTGTCACAAACTTATTTACTTTGACATGTTGACATGAGGTCGATTCTGCATGTGGACTCTTGTGATACAAATCATTTGATTATATTTCAACCCTTTTTCATAACAACCGGACCCTCTCAAGCTTTTTTTTTATTGGGTACATATTAAAAAAAAGGAGTTTTGTTATTCGATATTATGTCGCGTAATAAAAGAAAAGGTAAAGGTACTGGTCCAGGCGAAGGGTCTCGCAATACTCCTAATGTCAATCTTAAGCCTCGGAGAACACCACGAAATAATGGTAATTCTCCTCAAGGCAGCGGAGGGCGTGGTCACGGACACGATATTGGAGTATCTAACGAAGAAATAGAACGAGTTAATGCTAGACAACATAACGCTCTTTTGGAAAATTTACAATCCTCTGCACTTTCATATGATGGAAGTGACAAGCTTGTTTTCCTTTCTAGTAATAATTTGGAGGGTGCGTGGCGTAACTTGATCAGAAAAGAATTCCGCGATCAACGAATGATTAAATACTTCATCACGTCATGTTTGTTGGATGCTGATAAACAGACTGGTGTGGCAATAGAAACTCTCGTAGAACAATTGGGAAATCCTAAATTGGGCATTCTTCGATTACGAGAGATTTGTCAGGTATTTTTATTTATTTAAGAAATAAATTAATCAATAGATAAATCATTAAAATTTAACTAAAAAATTTTCTTCAAATGAATAAATTGGTTACCTGTTTAGTACAAAATATCTGTTGATGCTGGATTCAAAAAAGATACTGCTTCATTTCAAAGTGTTATTCTTCCCTTTCTTGCATTATTGATCCGTCATGGGGTATTGTTAAAAAATTAGTTTTATACCCTTTAAATTAAATTATGTCATTTTTATTAATTAATTCTTTATTTATATCTTCACAAATGAAGGTACGCGGTTCGACTTTGGAAAGACAAGTTAACACCATATATTCAGTTGTTTATACTTATATTGATACATTCTTTCATGATAATATTATGAAATGTTTAGATGAATTAGTTAGAAGAAATTCACTTCAAGATAGAGGTGATAAGGAAAAATCGTTAAACAAAGATCCTAATATTTTTATTCCTTCAACATTTGGTCAACCATTCTTGATACTTGCGCGTTTTTTAAATGAGTTACTTAGTCGAATTAAAGAAGCTTCTGTTAATGATACGATTCACAAAATCGTGCACCGTCTTCAAAGTGCGTTAAATGCATGGAAAGACTCTTTGATGACTGAACGTCAATTGAAAGTTCAATCTGACGACGCATTGGTCTCAGATCTTGAAAAGAGGCGATATTATTTTGAAATTTTAAATCACGAAATGAAAAAACTCGATTATGTTTTGTCAGATGGGCGTAAATCTCTTATCGCAGCAAGAAGCGAAGTCAATAATACTAATAATACTGTAACTTCTGAACTCGTCGTTCAAAGCCGTGAATTTGCGCGAATGAATGAATTTGAAAGATTGTATGATCCACCTGGTTAGTTTAAATGTCTAACAATTTCTACTTTTAAATCAATTATTATAATTCTTTATACAATTAATATAATTATTTTCGAATCAAAGGCGAATTATCTAGACTTGGCCCAAGACATGATAACGACTTTCTTGAAATATGCAAAATATCTATAATTCCAACAAAAGATGAAATTTTGGCATCACGTGAGCCGTCTTTGCCCTCATTTATGTTAGGTCCTTCAGAATTCTTACCTGATGGGATTGCACGTCTTCTTGATATGCAATTCAGGTTATTGAGAGAAGATATGCTTAATCCGATTAGATTGGGTATTTCCCGTTTTTTGACAGACTTGGATAACAACAAGGCTAAATTTAAAAAGTTACGTGAAGAAGGTGGTAGATTTCGATACGATAAGGGTGATATTAGTGGAGATCTTAATGTTTATCCAAACATAAGATTCGTTTCTATTAACGTAAATCGATACCGTGGATTTATTTCTCGTGTTGCGTTCACGTATGGAAATTATTATTGTTATTGTTTTTGTTGTTATTATGTATTATTTATATTTATATTTATACAAATAGTAAAAAGTTATTTTTTTAAATTTATTTCAGTCCACCAAAGATAAAATCAGCCAAAGATGAAAAGCAGCGTCTCCATTATTGGGAACGATCTAGAAAATTGATGAGTGGTAGTTTAATTTGTGTCCTTTGGCAAAATAAAGTAAATGAAGATAGCGACCCAAATTCATCGCAAACCTATTCCCTTTATTTTGGAGTAGTTGTTGAAAAGAATGAGAAACGTCTATCACGATTTGAAACTGAAGCCATGATTGATATTCATTTCATCGAATCTTCAATTTATCCTATCGTTTTAGAAGATATTTCAATGGGAAGAGATCATCCTTCTCGTCCTAAACGATTTATGGTTGAATCTACAGGAGTATATTTTGAATCTTATAACCATATATTAAAAACATTACAAGTTACTAATCCTTCAGAAGTTCCATTTCGACAATATTTGGTGTCATCACTCGAAGGCGGCGATCGAAATATTCAAGTAGAAACTCCATTATATACGAAAGCTCCTAGGTTTCATTTTGATTTATCAATATTATTAAAAGATCCTTATGATTCCTTATTGTTAAATGTACAAGATGAGACATCAAGAGAAAATGCAATTAGAAAGTTAGCAACGCCAAATGTTAGTGTTTTTGATGAAACACAAGCTAAAGCATTGGTTGACGCTTTGTCAAGAGAAATCGCTTTAATTGAAGGTAATTGGCATGAAGTAACTCCTCGCGATATTTAATTGATTTCCTTATTTAATTGAAATCTCAATTAAAGGTCCACCGGGAACTGGAAAAACGTATGTCGGTATTGAAATAGTGAAAGTCTTACTTTCCGAAAAAAATCGAAAAACTACTGCAATTGGGCCAATTCTTACCATTTGTTATACAAATCATGCATTGGATCAATTTCTTGAGTGTCTACTTGATAATAATATTACGAAAATTGTTCGTTTGGGATCTAGAAGTAAATCAGATAGAATAAAAGAATTTAATTTAGAGCATATTTCTCGTAGTCGTCCTAAGGTATCACATCGAGGTTTCATGTTATATGAAGCTTATGAAGAACTTGATGAAATAAAAAATGAAGCAATAAATTTACAAGAAAAACTTTCTAGAGAGTTGATGACATGGAATGATGTTAAGAATCATCTATTGGCTGAATATATGGCTTATTATTTGCAATTCACTGATAACCATGGACCAGATTTTCCAGATCTTTTATTAAATATCGAAAGTGAAGAAAGCAACGTGCTTCCAGATGAAACGGATAAGAATGGCGATAAAGATGAATGGACAACCGTTGGTGAAGAGAAACTGAAAAATCAATCGATATGGGATCAATGGATTAATGGCGTTGATATTCGGTAAATAACTTTGTTGCATATTTAATATGAGCCATTTCTTTTTTATTCTACAAATTCGTTTTTTTTAGACGACGGGAACAATTAGTTCAAGCAATTTATCGCAATCAAAATGCAACTGAAAAGAACATGTCAAAAAAAGGAAAAGAAAGAGACGATCTAAACGAAAGACCTAATAATATGTATGAATTTCTTAAAAATATCCCTCGGGATGATGAGACTGCTGAAGATGGTGATGAAAGCGAAGAAGAAAATGCTGAAGATACATTTAATTACGACGAATCGCAAAAAATTAGACAAAATAATGGTAACAATTACATAAAAAGCGACGAAACTGACGAAACCGAGTATTGGCTTCAGAAGTTGGTTATTCCAGATGGGGTGATTTATTAACTTTGAATCTTGTTTAAATGATTTCATAATTATATTGATTGTCTTGGACTCATTATACGAAATTTTCTTAGGATCGAGATTTAGAAACATTACTTGAGGACACAGATGTATGGAATATGTCTAGAGTTGAACGTAAACGTCTACACGATCATCTCCGTGAGGCAATTCGTAAAGAAGTTATCATTGATCTTGCAGATTTTGAAATGAAGGTACTTGGCGAAAAGAATTTTCAGTTAATACTTTTTTTTTAACACATCATTTCGTCTTTAGCACACTGCAAAAAGAAAAGAAATTGAAGACATTAATGATGAAGGTCGTCGCGAAATTCTAGAAAATTGTCAAGTTATTGGATTAACGACAAGTGGAGCCGCGAAATATCAATCTTTAATTCGTTCTGTTGCTCCACGCGTAAGTTGTTTTATAACATTTTAAAAGTATTCATATTTAAAAAAAAAAAAAAATAATTATTGTTTCTATAGATAATTATCGTAGAAGAAGCAGGAGAAGTTTTAGAAGCTCACATATTAAGTGCGTTAACGCCTTCTACGCAGCATTTGATCCTAATCGGTAATAAAATCTCACTTCAATAGGTTTTTTTTTTTTTAATAACATTTTAACAACCTTGTAAATTTAGGTGATCATCTGCAACTACGTCCGCATATTGCTACGTATACATTATCTGTGGATAGTCAACCTGGCGAATATTTCATGTTAGATAGGTCTTTGTTTGAACGTTTAGGTAATTTTGTATTCATCTGAATGACATCAATTGTTATTATATATGTAATTTTATATTTATGTTTTGTTCAATAATTGATACGAAAATACTTCATTTTTAGTAAACGAAGGTGTTACTATGTCACAATTAACTATTCAAAGAAGAATGAGACCAGAAATTGCGGATTTAATTAGAGGAACCTTGTATCCAAAGCTTACCGATGGTAAATAATTAAGATCTTTTACGATTATTTGATTCATTGTAATAAATTGTATAATTTTCTCATTCATCTTAGGAACAAATACAAGAGAGTATCCTAAAGTTCGGGGAACTCCACATAATCTTTTTTTCATTGATCATAGGCATTCAGAAGATGCTGCTGGTTCCAACCAATTTGCACTTCAGTCTCACTCAAATACATTTGAAGTAGAATTTGTCGTTGAACTAATTCGATACTTTGTTCGCAATGTAAGTTTTGCGAGTGCTGTAATGTTAGAACTTTATATTATATTTAATCGTGATATCCTTTTTTTTGTTTGTTTAGGGATACGATAAGCCGAATGATATTGCTGTTTTAACTCCGTATCTTGGACAATTAATCAAGTTAAGAGATGCCTTACGTGAATCATTTGTTGTTGGTATGTACGTCTTCATAAGCGTAATCTTTTATTTTATAATTATTAAAGTGCGTATTTTAAAAATCTTCTCATTATTTAGTTATCGATGAAAGAGATAATCAAGATATTACAGAACTTCTTGGTGAAGCAGATCCAGAATATGAAAATCCTATTGGAACAGTGTCAATTGCAGAGAAACGTTCATTACAACGCCAAGGTTAGAAAATGTTCTGATTAATTTTGCATGTTCAATTTTTTGTTGATAAAAAATTGCATATTTTTAGTTACGTTGAAGACTGTGGATAACTTCCAAGGAGAAGAAGCGACAATAGTTATTGTATCCTTAGTTCGAAATACGACAAGTGGCAGCCATGGAAATATCGGGTTTCTAAAATCATCAAACAGAACAAATGTCCTCTTATCTCGTGCCAAACATGGAATGTTCATGTTAGGTAAATCTTAAATAAATCTTAAAATAACGTTTCCAATTTCAACTTTTTAACATATTTTATCTGCAATATAGGTAATGCGGAATTGTTATCTGAACGTTCAGATATGTGGAAGTCTGTAATTGGCTTAATGCGTAAAAGGTAGCATTAATTTGGTTCTTGCATTTATTAAATCTTTATCAATGAAAAAATTAAATGAATTTGTTATTATCATAGAGGTCAAGTTGGAGAAACATTCCCAATCTTATGTGAATCACATCCAGACATTATAAACTATATCGAAAGTCCTGAGGAATTCCAGAAAAGTTCACCTGATGGCGGTTGCAATGTAAGTTTTTGCCAGATTATTATCGATTAGACATAGGATTCATTTGCTAACAAAACTCTCGTATAAATACCTAATTGGATTTTAGTCACCTTGCCGTCGTCTTATGCCTTGGTATATTTTTAATAATGATTTTGAAATATTGGTATTTTATGGATGAACTTTTACTAATTAAGTAATATTTATTTTATTCATAGTGGACACATTTGTTGTATGTTTCAGATCATACTTTTTACATGTATAAATTAATATATTAATTTCACTTCGTTATTAGCTTATAAATGTCATCCTGATGATCCGGATCATATTGGAGCGGCAAAATCTTGTAAACGTCCATGTTTAAGATTACACGATTGTAATCACGTTTGCCCATTACCGGTATTTCATACTATAACATTTTTATGATTGTCTTTTCAAAGCATTCTAATTTGTTTAATGTTTTAAAGTGTGGAGATCCATGCGGCGAATGCCAAATCATTGTAGAAGATATCTTATTGTCTTGCGGTATTTTTCCCCCTATTTCCATATCCATATAATATTCCTATTTCAGACAATTAACTGTAACCAATGTTATAAAATTTAGGACACTATTTTACCTCACCGAAATGTTATCAGTCACAGGATCCCAAATCTATCATGTGTTATACCATGGTAACTCGTATTTTACCAACTTGTGGTCATGAGCTCAAGTAATTATTTTTAATCCTCCTTTTAAAATAAACTTTAAATTGAAAGACTAACTATTTTTGATTCAAAAGTGTACGTTGTAGTTCATCTATTGATTCATTACGTTGTGACCATGAATGTGGAATCATATTGGAAGGCTGTGGACATTCATGTAAAATTATGGTTTTATTTATTTATAAAAAGAATTGTTTACCTCCACTATTATCTATTTATATACTATTTTTTTTAAAAAAAAAAAAATCTGCAGGCAAAAATAAGTGTTGTGAGTGTCAAAAGAGGTCAATTGCAGCAAACAACAAGGAGCCGAAAATTGACCAACAAGGCCATATCGTGAGAACTAATCACCTGAAATGTATACAACGATGTGGACGAATTCTTTATTGTGGTCATGCTTGCGCAGCATCGGTATGTTTCAAGTTATTATATCAATTGATTTGAATTATAGATAATAATTTGTATCTATTGTTGTTAAAATAAGTGTCATAAGGGAGCGTGTCCACCTTGTAAAGAAAATTGCTCGGTCGAATGTCACCACTCAAAATGCACGATGAAGTGCAGTGAACCATGTAAGTAACAACATTATTTCCATTATTATAGAACATTTCATCAAATCTATTATATGAATTTGTTATTTATAGGTATTACATGTGCCGAACAATGTAATTGGATTTGTGAACATCAAGGTTGGCTTTCTAATCGTGCTTTTAGGTTTTTAAATTTTTTTTTTTTTTTAAAAAAAAAAAAATTGATTAATTAATAGGTGGTTGTGCGCTTTCTTGCAGCGCTCCGTGTAGTCGCTTGCCTTGTGATTTACAGTGTCAAAAGGTTGTGTTTATTGTTCCTTTATGAAACTATCCATTATCAATAAAATTTTAACCAATATTTAATTTCTTATTTGATTATTACGAAACCTAGTTATTATCATGTGGTATGTATTAATACTCGAGATTGATTTTTATCCCATTATTCGTGAATTAACTTTTAATCCTCTAGGGCATCGTTGTGTTAGTGTCTGTGGCGAAGAATGTAATGTATATTTTAATTCAGGTAATGATATTTTAGAAGAATTTAGATCACTTCCTAAAATTTTTATCATGTAGGTCCTCCACAAAAATATTGTGTATTATGTGCGAATGACGAAATTAAATCGCAAGTTGTCGATATTTATTTGCAAGAATCTTTTGAGGAGGTGGACTGGAAAGTACATAGATTGATTGTATTGGAATGTGGTCATTGTTTCACTATGGAATCAATGGATTCACTTATGGAACTTGACAAATATTACGTCATACGTGAAACAACATGGATTGGATTAAAGATTCCTCCAGAAGAAATGTCAAAGGTTAAATGTTGTCCCAACTGCAGACATCCAATTAACAGTATTCGTCGTTATGGACGTGTAAGTAAGAAAATAACGCTTGATGCGGCAAAAATGAAATTCCTACAAAAATATACAAGATCATTAAAAAATACACGAGATTCATTAGAAAAAACAGTTAAGGAATTAGAAAATAAAAGGGACCAATTCATTGAAAAGATTGTAAAGTCCGCAAAAGAAAAATCAATAGGAAAAGATTATTATAAATCTCAAGCATTGAATACCAAAGTTCCTGAACTTACGCCGGTGCAGCAATTCGCAGAGATTGTGCAACATGATATTTCCAAGGTCCATGAAACACTTTGGGCAAATCATGTTTTTCGCTTGATTGGCTGTTATCGAGAGATATTCTTAATCATGACGGGCACCAAGGATCCTCCATACAAACGTGCATTCGATGCAGCTGTTGTAAATTTGTATCATTTAAGATCAGCTGCGGAAACAGAGATCGATGTATTGAAACTTGCCGAACAAATGGAGACCCTTAATTTGTCTGGAAAGAGTTCTATGCATCAATTAACTCTACAAAGGGAATGTCTTCAACAAGTTGGTATTCCTTTGCCTGTTGTTAGTTATGGAATCTATGTCAAAGCATTTTTTGAGGTCGTGCATATTCAAAAAGTAATGTTCATGGAAGCCAAACATGTTGTTCATGCTTTGGATTTGACATTACATGAAAACATTAATCAATTCTATTTACAATCAGTTCGTGATACAACCACGCTGCAATCTATCAGTATTCGTAACTCTTGGATCAAGTTTACAAGATTTATTTTAGAAACGACAGTTGAACATCTTAAAATTATTTGTGAAGTTGCAAAAGAAACCAAATATTATAGAGATTACGCTTTTGCTTTATTAGAGTTAAGTGAAATTCAATGTCATCATGGAGGTTTCATCCTAAGTTATGAAATTATAGATTCTAATAAATCAGCTTCAGAACAAGCGACAAGGATAAAGAAATCTGTTTCGAGACTTTGTGAAGATGTTCAACAGTCACTTATAAGTTTACAGAGTTTAATTGGATTAATTGATGGGGAGTATATCCAAAAACAGTTTATTTCACGAATGCAACAGATATCTAAGGATGTTAATGAATTGGAAAATTGCAGAGGTAAAGCTATTTTGAGATCTGAAAAGTTAGAAATCTTCAGAGCGATGAACATTGAACTTCAAGGTTCAGGTAAACTTTTTTTTTTCCTTTTTGTGTAAAAAAAAAAAAAAATTATTCTGTAGTGATTTATTTTGATTATAATATTATTAGGTCATTGGTATCAATGTCCAAACGGTCATACAGTAAGTAAAAAATAAATCCTAATTAAAAGAAAAAGTATTATATTGAATTTTTATTTTATTTTAATAATGATTATATAATTAGTATGCGATTGCAAACTGTGGATTAGCAAATCAAGCAAGTCATTGTCCGGAATGTGGAGCTAATGTAGGAGGAATTAATTATAATTTATCAGCTGGAAATACTAGAAGTAATGAATATGAAAATTTATATCAATACAACCAATAATAATAATCTTTATTCAACGGATTGGTAATTTTTATAATTTTTAAATTTTATTGATATTTTCTTCACTAGAAGGTTCATTTCTTTTATGAGATTAAAAAAATGATAATTTTCAAACAAAAAATTTTACTTTTATCAAAATAATTAATTAAATAGCATTAGCGATTTCAAAAATTATACTATAAAATTCATGTAGCAATGAGTAATTAGATGATTATTTAAAAATCTTTTAAGTTTGCGAATCCCAGGGAAGTGACGATAATTACGAAAGATAATTAACCGAAAGATAATTTAACCGAAATTGAATCGACCAATCAAACAAAGAAATTAATGGTTAATTACCATTTAATTAACCAAATCTTTAATTAAAGGTAATTAACCTTAATTGAGTAAATTTACAAAATTATTTCTAAATTAGAAATAAAGAACATTTCTCTATTATTAAAGAATCTGACGCCTTACAAAACGTGCTAAAAAGTTGTTCAAATATTATTGTGTGATACAAATAAAATAAAAACGGGACCGCCCAGTATTACTAATCTGCAATTGTGAGATCAGTTGATTTGATCATTTGACGTAAAGAATAAGATTATGAATCGGGGGAATAAATTTCATCATTTGGAATTGCTATTGCGCAAAACCAAAGTTTATCATTTCAGCTTAATACGGAAGGAGATCTTCAAATGACATTTGATTTAAAATGTAGTGTAAATTTTTATACCAAAGCACCCAATATATATATCTGATATATCTTATATAATTCCTGATTTAGAATTCTATTTCACTATTTTAGAATTTTGTGATTCTATATATGAAAGAAAAACTATATATAATGCTCCCTCAACTTGAAGTTCATTTTCCCGTAAAACAAAAACATCATGGCCGATAGATCATCACCTTTATTGGAAGAAGGAAAACCTCATCAAGGCTTATTATCTAATTTGCCAAATTTTCGTTCATATTCCAATCAAGTTAATCAAATTAAATCAAAATCCCCATCATCATGGAAAAAAATCATATATTTTATTCTTATTGGATTGATTTTATTTATCATTATTGGGTCAAAAGGTAAAAATGTTTTTTCCGTTTCCGTTTGTATTTAATGCACTTTAGTGTGTGTGACATGGTTATAATAGTGACGAAATCATAACTGATCGATCACGTGCACAAACCTTTTCAGCTATTCCTATACCTACCGACTCTAAACTCGTAATTGCACGTAATGGAGCGGTTGCAGCAGAACAGCAGGATTGTTCCAATATTGGTGTTGAAAGTAAGATAAAATGATTTAATGTTAATATTTACGTAAAATTTGATTTTGATCCAAGCTGTTTGATATTATAGTACTTAAAGAAGGGGGTTCGGCTGTTGATGCTGCTATAGCTGCAGAACTATGTGTTGGTACCATAAATGCTTTTTCGGCCGGTATTGGAGGGTATGAATTCATATCGAGTTAGTTAATTCGGATGGATTCCTTTGCGTGATAATTAATTGTTCCATATTACTTTTCTTACAGAGGAGGATTTATGATAATTCGTGATTCTGATGGAACATCCGAAACTATTGATTTTCGAGAAATTGCACCCGCTGCTGCAAATAATAGTATGTTTAAAGATGATCCGGAACTCGCTAAATATGGTGGACTTTCTGTTGGTGTTCCGTAAGTAACAAATTATATATTTTTTTTTTGACATAAAAAAAAAAAGATTTATTAACCAATATCATTTTTTTTTAGCGGGGAGATTCTTGGAATGGAAATCGCACATAAAAAGTAGGGATCTTCACTGTTCGTCAACTGATCTGATGTTTTATCTTGATGTGCGATATCTTAACGTTAATTTGAATAATTTTAGATATGGAAAATTACCTTGGAAACGTCTATTTGAACCTTCAATCAAATTAAGTCGTGATGGATTCAAAATACCGTTTGAGTTATCAAAGCGTATGAGGGTAATTATTCAATCATTTAAGTGCTGAATTATATCAATTTAAATTTTAATGACATAATTGTTTAATTAATTGATTTAGGCTTACAGAAAAGACCTTGAGGGAACACCAGATTTGGCTGCTATTTATGCACCAAATGGGATATTGTTGGGTGAAGGAGATTTACTGAAACGTTCAAATTTTTCTAAAACTTTGGAATTAATAGCTAATAATGGATCTGATGTGTTTTATAAAGTATTTATAATTTGAGAATTATTCACTCTCCTTTTTTTGAAGAAACTTTGTTTCAATTTTTTTTTTTTCTTTTTAGGGATCGATAGCTGATTCCATCATAAAATCCATTCGATCTACTGGTGGAATCATGACCCATGAAGATTTAGCAACTTTTAAACCAATTATATCGAAACCTATTCAAGGATATTATCACGGACGAAAGGTCAATTTAAAGATTTAATGTTTTATCCTTATTAGGTTTTTACAAACCTTCTTACCTAATTTAAAATATAATTTACCGATTTAGGTTATGACGTTAAATACTCCATCTGGTGGACCTGTTTTGTTGAGTATGTTAAACATATTAGAAGGTTATCGATTGTCAAGGGAAGGTCTTGATGGAAAGAATTTGCACAGGTAATTGTGATGTATATTATTTCCTTTCAACTTTATTATACAGCATTCGACTTTTATTAACGCGTTTCTCTTTTTGAATATTTTAGAATAATAGAGACTCTCAAGTGTATGATTTTATAATATTTTAATTTTAAATTAAATGATTGTCATTTTATTAATGTATAAATTATTATAATATATTTATTTAGTCGGATTTGCTATGCGTACTGAAATGGGTGATCCATTATTTGTAAGTATTCTTAATGAGCAAAATTATTTCGATGTCGAAAATTATCATTCCCCGTTAACCACATGTTTATCTTACTAGACAAATAACTTAGAGCGTATTGAGGAAATAATGACCAAGGATTTTGCGGCTAAAATAAGAAAGAATATATCAGACGTATGTTTCATAATCTTTATAACTTTATAATATTTAATTATTATTCAAATTATTGCATAATCCTTTTTTTTTTTTTTTGTTAAAGTCTATAACTTTCGAACCATCATATTATAATCCAATATATGATGTGTTAGAAGATCATGGAACAACGCATGTTTCGGTTGTTGATAAATATAATCAAGCGGTATCTTTGACTTCAACGGTAACTATTCCGAAAAAAAATGTGTACATCCTTCATTATTTAGGAAAAAAATATGTTTCTAATACTTTTATCATTTGAAAGGTTAATTTAATTTGGGGATCAAGAGTCTTGGATTCGGAAACCGGTATTTTACTTAATGATCAAATGGATGACTTTTCTATACCTGGTGTTCCAAATTATTTTGGCTTAAGGCCTTCTCCGTATAATTACGTTCGTGAGTTTATTCGCAATTACCTTTTTTTTTTCTTTTTTCATATTTATAATATACGAACGAGCCTGTAATAAATAATTTGTTTTATGAAGAACCGAAAAAGAAACCCTTGTCTTCATGTGTCCCAGTCATAATTGAGAAAAATGGAGAATTCGAAATGGCTATTGGTGGTAGTGGAGGTTCTAGAATCCTTTCTTCAATCCTTCAGGTAAGTGGTGTGGATTTTAAATATTTATGGATTAAAAAAGGAATTATATCTTTACTTATCAAAAATATTATATAGGTGTTATTGAACGTGTATGAATTTGACAAAGATATTTTAGAATCCATAGATGCACCTAGAGTACATCATCAATTGCTTCCAAACGAAGTCAGTATATATCAATTAAAAAAAAGTAAAATATAAATTCTATTATTTAATTGTTAATTATTATTGTTTCTTAATTTAGATATCAATTGAAACTGGATATTCAGAGAAATTAATGGAAGAACTTAGAAAAAGAAATCATTCGGTGTGTATTATATAATAATATTTTAATCATTTTTTTTTTTTTTTTTTTTTTGTTCTTTTAGTTAAACGAATTCTAATTCTTTTTATTCTTTTTTGATTCTTATTTTAGATAACGATTGTGGATTTTAATGCAGGAAAATCAGAAATTCAAGCCGTAATGAGGTTATCTAATGGACTAGTTAATGGTAAGTAACAATAATTTAAACGTTAAAAAAAAAAACATTTTATTTATTAATCGAATTCCTCACTTTTTATAGCCGCAAGTGATTATAGAAAACACGGAATTGCGGCAGGATATTAATTTAAAGTATCTTAATTTAATTTTAAAATGATGGATTTTAACCATATATAGATTAATTAAAAAAAAAAATGGAAAATTACGTCATATTTATAATTTCCAAAATCTTAATTTTTGGGACGTAAAATATATGTATATATGCTAATTTGTTTATTACTAAAAAAAATATATTAATATATATAATATTTTTCTTTTTAACAAATAAATAAATTTTTTTTTTATACAGTTTTATAAAATCTCATTAAATTCAACCAGCTTGATTCCTTTTTCTTTAATTTGATTGATCATTTTCAACTCTTCATTACTCAGAATTTTATCCAAACCAAAAAAACCCAAAAATTTCAAATTATTATTTTTTTTCTTGATATAATTTAAAATGATTTCAAGATATTCCGTATCAAGTTTTTTCCTCAAATTCAAAGTAATGATATGATTAGGACAATTGTTTAAAAAACTTGACAAGATTTCTTTTTTCATAAATTGACATGAAAACAAAGAAACTTTAATTACATCCTTTGAAAAGTTCGTTGCCAATTTATCTAAATCTAAAGTTTTTAATTCACCATCCTCAGAGCTTATGTATTGAGGCATAATATTAAGATTTTTGATTTTTAAATTTTTGAAATAAGGAAATATTGAAGGATTGATATTATACTCTAATGATATGTATAAGGTGACAAGGTTTAAACAATATTGAGAAATTATTTCCATAAGTTCCAACGTAATTTTGATAATCCTTAACTGTTGTAATGTTATACCTAAATATTTAATGATCGTTATGGTTATACTCGTTTCCCAATTATTACCCAGTATGATTAATTCTTTAAGTTTAAAAGAAGCGAGATGAAATATTTTACAAAGTTCCAACGTCATTCCATGACAAGAATTAATTTCCAAACTCTTTAAATTATATAAATTGATCATACTTTGTAGGATAAATTCATGAAAATTCACGTAACGAAATTTCAAAGTAACTAAGGAATGTTTTTGAAATTCTAATGAGGAGAAGATATTTTTAAACAAATTCTCTGAATGGGTGAAAATGAACTCCTTTAATTCCTTTTGTCTTTTGATGATCGTAGATAACTCGATTGAATTATAAACTTCCGGTTGCTTTAAATTTAATTGATTGATGCTTTTACAATTCTTTGCGATGACCGTTAAGAAATCCGAGATATTCCCCCTCTTGAACTCTGATGTATCATCATCACAAGTTGATAAAGTTAACGTGGATAACGTAAAAAGGTTTGGAATGATTAGATGATCAAATAATTCAGTCTTAAAGATACTTGGATAAATTTCCAAATGATTAAGATGTACTCCTTGTCTCAAAAACATATGATAACAAACTTGGGTTAATGATTGTAATAAATCATAAATTAGGATGGACTTTTTTTCAATATATTTATTAGTCCATTGACCAATCGCACTTTGTATTTCACTTGTTAAAAGTTGTTTAATAAATTTAGGATATTCAAAAATTGGTCGGACATCACTGATTATTAAATCATTTAGATTTGGTATTTTATAATCATCATTCAATTTTAACAAGTATGAAGTTTCATCTTCATTTAAACATGAAAGAAAGGTTTTGATGATTAAATGTTTCTTATCATCTTTTAACCTTTCAAAGGGATTTGCATAAAGCAAAGGGATTGTGATTTTAGACAAAAATCTATTTGCCATTAAACATTTAAAAAGTGTTGAACGATCGTTTTGAAGGAATTTTAAAATGTAAAGGATGCAATCATCATTTAAACGTGATGTAGTCATTCTTATTATTATCAAAAAAAAAATAAAATAAAATAAAATATAAAATAAAATTTTGGAAAAAAAATTGAGAACGGAGAAAAAAAGAGAGAGATTGAATACGTTAATGGACAAGTCACAAAGTTGAAAATTTATAATGTCTCATGTTGTGAAACGACCGTTCATACGTGGGGTAAATATTTTTCTACTTTTTATCTTCTTTTTAATATTGGAATAGTCGATCTTGTGAAAGCTAAAACAAAAAAAAATAAACCTAAAAATTTTTCCGTGTGGATCAATACTATAAGCGAAATCGCTTTCCTATTCGGTTACATACATGTGTTGAAAGCAAAAGATATTTATCCGTTAACGTTAAAAATAGATTGCCGTCCCATCAAAAGACTTGACTACCACTTGATGACCGTAAAAAAAAAATAAAAAATAAAGAAGCCGTAATGAAATTCAAGCGGAAAGGAATCGAGCCTTAACATTTGAAAATTTATATATTTTGAAACAAAATGGTATGTTTACGCGTGGTCGTACAAATCTAAATTGCTACTTTTATTACTTTTATTGTCAAACTGCTAAAAATTGAGTGAAAATATAAAATTTGGTGTTCCTCTTACACATTTAAATATTTTATACAACTTCATTGCACGTATGTAATGATATTTTTGAATGTTTATATAAATTTAAAGAAAGCCATTATCCTTGAACAAATTTATTATAAGATACACGTTCTCTTCGCGTCGTATAACCGAGCAAGTAGTGTAATGAGTGGTAATGAACGTGTTTACGTATCAACTTATAAACTTTTATTTAAAAAAGCTTTACTTATGTGAAAAGGCCACTTTACGCATGCCTTCCTTTGCGGACTAGCCATTTTATTCATTAACTAATTAACTAATAGAAATCCATTCAGTGTGGAAATGACATTATTATGCATTAAATGCTATGTATTCAATAAAGAATGACCTTATCTATTTATCTATTATTTTCATGCAAATATGAGATATTTTCTTTTATTTTGTTACGACAACATTCATTCACTTTTCAATATAATATTAGAAAGAAAGTTTTATCATTTGAGCTAAAATGGAGAATTTGAATAAGGATCCTCTACTAAAAATTGTTAGGATCTCATTATAATTCAAAGAAAAAGTTGTTCCACCTAAATGATTGATAACTTCTTTTACGTTATTAAACGAATCTCAACTCGGTGGTATAATAAGACGAGATAATTTCATAGATGCTTGGGACCAATATGTTTTTTGATGACCATATCATGATATTAGGAAAGATTGACAATATAAAATGGGTTGATTCGAGTGTCAACAATATGAAGTGCATTTCCAGAAGGATAGGAAATATAAATAAATATACGCACAAGCATTCTCTTTATGGATTAATTTTATTAATTATGATTCTAATAATCAATGAAAATGTATTGGTAGAGATAGATTCGGAATGTTTTTGTTCAAATCTTATTCTTCATTTCTTTCAAAAATTTGGAGGTTGAACTTATCAAGTTTAATTAATTTCTTTGAAAATTACTTAATGTCTTGGCAAATTATGTTTCTTAGCATTTGATTTTTTCAAATTCTCTTGCATGTATGATTTTATCATGCTTTCATCTAAAAACAAAATAAAGATTCTAAGTGGGATGATTTTTCTTGACGAGTAATTATCAGTAATAATAATATTTATGTTCAAAAACATTCTATGACAAGCATGTTGTAGTACATATATCACCGCCAATATGTGATAGAAAAAATATTATATTACAGAATCTTAATCCGTACAAGTGCGTGACATAAGTAAACAAATGCAAATACATAACTTTAATTCAAATTGTATCTAATTTGCTGTATATTAAATAAGAAATCTCAAATGATTCAAGGGTTCCAAACCTTCTAGGAACAAAAACGATAATATTTGAATCGCGCATTATCTCCATATCCAATTTTATTATTCAACTTTCAAGAGATGAGTATCGAAAAACATTTGTAAAATTTTTACGTGACGTTTATTAATAGTGTTATATTATTAGGTTTTGTATGTTGTAAGGATAATATATATATATATGCAACCACAAACTACTTGTTTTTTAACAAAAATGTTCCCTGTTTCAAATAAAATGATTTTTTTTTGCAATCTAAAACTGATATTACAAAAAAAAAAAAAAAAAAAAAATTAAAATAAATAATATATATAATTTCCAACAAAATTATTGTCCTCAACTTAATAAAAATTTCACATTTTCATAATACATTAAAATTGGATTTTCTCCACTTTTAGTTTGAGTTCTAGCTAATTCAGCATATCTTTTCAAAAATTCTTTCTGCTGCAGTACTTTAACCTTTTCAGATTCTGCTCGACTAGAACGACAAACTAATTGATAAATGTCTTTCAATAACTCGAAATTTGTTGGAAAGAAAATGTCAAACCATCCAGGATGTACCATATAAGTTGAACAAGGAACCATTGCATTTTGATATCTTGTTTGTACTACTGGAGCATCAACACCTTGAATAGAGTCCGGTAATTTATAAAAGTCAGAAATAACTAAACGATGTTGTGGAAAATAATCTTTCAACACATCAAGAAAGAGTAACATTTTTGTTGGTATAAACTCTGATTGTGTAAGGTTAGGCGCTAAAGGAAGTTTATTTCGCATTTTGCGATAGAAACGTCTTTGAAGTGCCGGTGTTTTGTATGTTGTCTTGTTACGTAAAGTTAAATAACGCGTAATAAGAGGATCATTGACGGGCTCATAAATTTCCTCATATTCCCCTTTTTCATTCGTTACAACAACTCCTTGCATTGGTTTTTCGGTCATAAATTCATAACGGATCACATCATGTGCAAAATTATCCTGACAATCCATTTTAATTAATAAAATAACAATTTCGATTCAACAATAAAAAAAAAAAAAATTCGAAAACTTACCAGAACTTCACAAGCCAAGAAGAAGCAAGGTTCATTTACAGGTTCATCCCAATCAAAAATGTTCTTATTAATAATCTCTATACAATTATGAACATTGGTAACTTTTCGAAAATCCTGAATTTGTCTTTGCCTTTCAGCTAATTTTATACTAATTTCCACAATACGATATTTCGTCTTTTTATAAATTGCAGGTTCAAATTTCTGAATATAATCCAAAATGTTTAACATCAAAGTTCCATTTCCAGCTCCAAGTTCATAAATGATTAAATCATGCTGCGGGTTTCCATTTAATTTATATTCGGTGACAATATATTTGGCAAATGCATATCCGTACCATGGCTTTATCAAAAAAAAAAAATTTCGATGTCAAGAAAATGAATCAATGTCATTGAAATAAAAAAAAGTACAATATAAACGTTCTCATCGAAAGTTTTTGATTTTACCTTAAACAATTCGGTTGAAGTATGCCAGATTTGTTTCGCAGCTTTTTTATCTTTTAATTCGAAACCATTCTCAAATTCCTGATATTTACTTCCCACTAAATTCATAAATTCCAAATTATCTTTAATACCATTAAAATCAAAATCGTTTTGTGGTGAAAATATCATGGCTTGCTTTGAAAAATAACCATAATTAGGATTATATAAAGAATCATCAATAAAATCTCGTACAAGCATTTGAGATTCCCTCGGCGGCGTAATTCTCAAAGCCGACTGTCGTGCTGTTAATCTAGGATAATTAAAATATTCGGCATTTAAAGGAATCTCATCTAAAAGTCCGCCTAGAGAACTCGGGGGGTTTGACGTTGTTGAATTTAATTTACGTGAAAGAAATGATATTGCTGACGATTTATGAGGTAAAGATTTTAATTTTGGGGGATGTAATGCTGTTATATGCTTTGATATCATATGTGAAAATTGTGACGTTAGAATTGGGCGAATCATTTTTTTATCTCATATATAAAATATTAATTATTCGATGCGAAAGAAATAATTTCCGAAAAATGTTCATAACAAAAAAAAAGAAAGAAAAAAAGGTATTAGAAAAATTATAAAGTTTCCTTTTTGTTTTTTTTTTAATACAATTGTCACAAGATACTGACGTGATTGATAGTCAAATATCCAATCTTAAAAAAATAATTTAATTTTAAGTTGGGGAAAAAAAAAAAAAAAGAAAAGAGATCGCTTTTTTGAAGATTTATGCTAGAGATTAACTCCCGAGCCAATAAAAATTTAATAACATCCGAAAAGCCCCGGACTTTTGCGTAAAAATATGTAAATGAAACATTATTATTAATGATCGTCTTATCCTATAATGGGTGATACCATAAGATATCCAATAAAAATTGGTGATCTTCAAACGTTAATAAAAAATACTATTTAATACTTCTAGTTGAATTCTACATAACTACGTTGAGATAATTTAAATCGGATTTTTGTATCAAAATTTAAAATTTGGAATTTTATTATATTTGGTTCTGATTTGATCCTTTAATGTTTGATCAGAATTATAATATTTTAGCCAAAATTACAGGTGTATAACATAGTAAATTTTATATAAAATATTGTAATATACTAACATATGTAAATCTAATATATAAGCTAAGTATACTATAAAAAAAGTTGTCACATAAAGTGATATCCAATTCAATTTTAATGAATATTGATGATTTATGTAATTAAATTTAGAATTATGATTGGTTTAAATATAAAATCATATGATTTATTATGATAGAGATTGGATTCGTATTCGTTTAACTCGAGTCAACTCGAGTTAAATTCTGATTTGAGTCAAGATTTTCTTGATTTGAATCAGAATTCAAGTTGACTCGAATTAAAACTACTCGAGTCAACTCCAAATTTATGCTATATTTTATAAATAGTATGTAATTCTTTTCTTAAACTGCA